CAGAAAAATTCAGAAGTGGTGCTATGGCTCAGGTGGTAAAGTGGTAGCCTTGAGGGAAAAAACAACAGCAATTAGACACAGCACCCAGGCCTTGAGTACAAGCTGAAAGACCAGATACCACCAACAAAAGTTAAAAAGATGTGTTTATTAGCACACAGTGAAACTGGAGATTTAGACTTCAGGTCTAAACTCTTGGGCTTCCAAGTGTCATGTCTGGCCACTCACTCCTATATGTCAAATAAAGAGACATGGCAAAGGGCAGATAAAAGAGATTTATGATGTGACACAAGATGCCAGGGGAAGACAGCACTTCAGCTCATCTTCAGCCATTTGTGGGTAGAGACATGAGTTATAGATTTAAATAGACACAGAATAAAAGGCAGAGGTAGAGAGAGCTGCATGTAATTAAATAGTCCCCAGTACAGGCCTGTTTCAGAGGTGACAAGACCTGGCCTCAGAATTGTCTGACAGTCCATTGTCTCAGGAATGGTCTACTGGGGTGTTGTTATAATAAGAGTTACTAAAGCCTTTCAGCTGGTCTGGTCTCCTGTCTCTTCCTTCCTGGCTTCCAAGATGGCTTTAAAGTGACTTCAGGAGAAAGTTGCTCAGGGCAAAGGATTCAGATACGACATGGAAAAACCTGGGAGGTTGAATTTTTATCCTTTCAGTCCAAATTGGGCCCAAATAAAGAGCCCAGCAAAAGCAGATTTTAAGCACAATATTTGTTGGATAAACAAGAGTTTTTAATTTTAAAAAATCTCAGGAGGGAAGGGATAGTAGGAGAAAAACAGAGGAAGGGGTAACAATGCTCGATAAGAAATGTACTCATGCCGGGCGCTGGTGGCTCACACCTGTAATCCTAGCTACTCAGGAGGCTGAGATCTGAGGATCGCGGTCCAAAGCCAGCCCGGGCAGGAGAGACTGTGAGACTCCTATCTCCAATAAACCACCAGAAAACCGGAAGTAGCGCTGTAGCTCAAGTGGTAGAGCGCTCGCCTTGAGCTGAAGAGCTGAGGGACAGCTCCCAGGCCCAGAGTTCAAACCCCATGACTGACAACAACAACAAAAAAAGAAATGTACTCATTACCTTACTCATGTAACTGTAACCCCTCTGTATAGCATCTTTACAATAAAATAAAAAATTTTTTTAAAAAATCTTCTCTCCTTGGAAGAGAAAATAATACTGTTGAAACTCAGTTCTAAGGCCTGAGAAATCCATTAGAATAATTATTAGAATAATTGAGAAATGGGGAAGACAAGTGAGCATCCATTTCCCTAAGGAGGAGAAGCTTCCGGTATGTGATTGCCAGGTTTTTTTGGTGTTTGTTTGTTTTTGTTTTTTTGTTCTTTGTTTTTTAATCATTTCCTCGATGGGGAAAGAAGGGAAAGAAATGACTTCCAGTTGCACCTGGACATGAGCGGCACATGGGGCACACATTCAGTAGTTCTTGCTCATGCAAAGAGTTCTTATTCTGGAGCTCCTGGCTCTCACACAGCAATGGCAAGAGTTTGGGAGGTCCAGAAACACGAGCCTGCATTTCCAGACTCTCTGGAGTGTCCTTGTGGTTTTCCTGAGCCAGATTCTACCCTCCTTTCAACCAGGAAATTAACTCTGACAGAGGAGAACTCCTGAGTATGAAGGGTGTGACTTTGTTCTGGGGTTCCTCTTTATCTGCTTTCAGAACTTTTAGCCTGATCCTGTTTTTTTTTTTGTCTCCATGGAACTAGTGCTTCTTCTGTACCTAGAGCTATGTGAGATGGATTTTTTTTTTTCTGGTTATAGGACTTGAACTCAGGGCCGGGGTGCTGTCCCTGAGCCTTTCTGTCCAAGGCTAGTACTATTATCACTTTGAACCACAGCTCCACTTGCAATATTCTAGTGGTTAATTGAGGATAAAAATCTCATAGAGGGCCGGGCGCTGGTGGCTAATGCCTGTAATCCTAGCTACTCAGGAGGCTGAGATCTGAGGATCGCGGTTCAAAGCCAGCCCGGGCAGGAGAGACCGTGAGACTCCTATCTCCAATAAACCACCAGAAAACCGGAAGTGGCGCTGTAGCTCAAGTGGTAGAGCGCTCGCCTTGAGCTGAAGAGCTGAGGGACAGCGCCCAGGCCCAGAGTTCAAGCCCCACGACCGACAAAAAAAAAAAAAAAAAATCTCATAGAGGGGGGGAAGGAGGGAAGCAGGGGGGGAGGGAAGAGATAGTGGGACAACAACAAAGGAGGGGGTAACAATGCTTGACAAGAAATGTACTCATGGGCTGGGAAGGTGGCTCAGTGGTAAAGCGCTTGCCTTGCATGCATGAGGCCCTGGGTTCTATTTCTCAGCACCACATAAGCAAAAAAAAAAAAAAAGCCAGAAGTGGCGCTGTGGCTCAAGTGGTAGAGCGCTAGCCTTGAGCTGAAGAGCTGAGGGACAGCGCCCAGGCCCAGAGTTCAGGCCCCACCACCGGACCCCCCCCAAAAAAAAATGTACTCATTACCTTACTCATGTAACTGTAACCCCTCTGTACAGCATCTTTACAATAAAATAAATTTAAAAAAAAAAAGAATCTCATGGACTTTCCTGCATAGGCAGCTTTAAATGGCAAGCCTCAGATCTTAGTCTCCTGAGTAGCTAGGATTTCAGGTGTGAACTAACAGCACCCAGCTGAGATGGAAAAGATTTATTGGTTTTTGACAGTGCACGTTGAAGAGCCTCCATTTCTCTGGAATTATATCCTGAAGAAAAAGAAAAAAAAATAGGATAGGATATTCAAGTAAGTTGAGGTAGTAGAGCACAAGAGAAAGAAAGGATGAGGCTTTTTCCCCTGAAGGGTCAGCTGGACTTTGGTTTGGCCTCACTTGGCTGAGGTTGATGCCCTAGATAATGTGAAGATGTTCCTACCCCCACTTCTCCATTAAGAGTGTCCCTAGACACTGTACCTGACACATGTAACTGTAGCCCTTCTGTATATCACCTCTATAATAAAAATAAATTCTAAAAAAAAAAAGAAAGAAAGGAAAAGAGTGTCCCTAGCTAGACGCTGGTGGCTCATGTCTGTAATCCTAGCTACTCAGGAGGCTAAGATCTGCAGATCATGGTTCAAAGCCAGCGCTTGCAGGAAAGTCTCTGAGACTCATCTCCAATTAACTATCAGAAAATCAGAAGTGGCACTGCAGCTCAACAGAGCTCAGAGACAGTGCCCAGGCCCTGAGTTTAAGCCCCACGACCAAAAAAAAAAAAAAAAGTCCCTAAATTGTGTCAAGGTGTCTGCTTGCCCCTACATGCCACATAGGTAAAATATAATCAAAGTGTAGGTTTGTTTGTGTTGAGACAAGGTCTCATGATGTATATCCTTGGATTCACAATCTTCCAGCTTTGGTTTCTGTAGTCCTGGGATTACAGGTATATACTACCATGGCCAATGTTCAAGGTAGTTTGAGTTGAAATGAAGATAGGCATTCTGTGCTGTCTTCCTAAAATGTGTTTATTACACACACACACACACACACACACACACACACACACACACACACACATACATGTTATATATGAGTTTTTTTGTTATTTGTTTTTTGTTTTCTTTGTTTTTTGTCAGTTATGGGGCTTGAACTCTGGGCCTCAGCGCTGTCCCTCAGGTCTTCAGCTCAAGGCTAGCGTTCTACCACTTGAGCCACAGTGCCACTTCCAGTTTTCTAGTGGTTTATTGGAGATAAGAGTTTCACGGCCTTTCCTGCCCAGGCTGGGAACCTCAATCCTCAGATCTCAGCCTCCTGAGTAGCTAGGATTACAGTGGTGAGCCACAGCTGGGCATGGTGGCGCACGCCGGTAATCAACGAGGCAGATGAGACAGGAGGATCATGAGTTCGAGACCAGCCTGGGCTACAGGCGTGAGCCATTGGCACCCCACTATATATGTATTTTATATATATGTAATATATATGTATATCCCATATCTTTCTTTTTTTGTGATCAAGTAGGTCTTGGGCAAACCCTAGACCTTACTTTCTTTTTTTACATTTTTTATTATTATATCTTTAAGTAGTTGTACAAAGAAGTTCCCTTTCTACAAAACAGTATGAGTACAAGGTGTCTGACAACATGGTCACCCATCCTCCTAATCCATCCCTTCTCTCACTTTTTTTTAAATTGAGATTAGGTGATTACATAAATTTCACATATTTCACAGTATTGTGGACTAGTGATACTTAAAGTCACAAAAACATTTTAACCTTCACAAGGCAAATTGTCATTCTCGTGGTCTATAAAGTTTGTGAATTCTATGACCATATCTTTATTTTCTTGCAAAATATCTCTTTAGTTAAGGAATGTGCACAATGATGAATGTCTTTGGAAAAGTGCTCCCCAAACTACAAGTCATTAGGCAATTGGATTAGCATATAGCACCAATTCTGTTTTCTGTTTTTATTTTTCTTAGCATACCACTTTTAGGTAATTTGTTTCTTAAGTAATTTGTACATTCTTTCAGGAAAGCAACATATAAAATTAAAAAAAGGAAATCTCAAAAAATTATTTTCTTATTTGTTGAAAAAAAATTACTGCAAACTGGGCACTGGTGGCTCACACCTGTAATCCTAGCTACTCAGGAGGCTGAGATCTGAGGATCACTGTTGGAAGACAACCTGGGCAGAAACCCAGAAGTGGTGCTGTGGCTCAACGTGGTAGAGTGCTAGCCTTGAGCAGGAAAAGCTCAGGGACAGCACCCAAGCCCTGAGTTCAAACCCTATTGCCAAAAACTACAACAACAACAACAAAGATAGACTACTGTCAAAATAGACTATTTACAACTATGAAAAAGGAACAAGGAAGCCTGTTGAAGACACTGGTTTCTTAGATGGAAGGTTGCAGCAAGTGTGATGGAGGGGGTGAAATTCATTGGAATACATTGTAAACGTGTGGAGATGAATCCCCCTACTATACAACTGGTACCAATAAGTAAATAGTTTGCTTTCTCCCAGACGTAGTTGAGAAATGCTGACTGCAATTCTTCTTCTTCAGAGAGACCCTGTGGAGACCCGCCCTCCTTCCCACACACCATCCTGCAAGGCCGCACCGGCCTGGAGATGGGGGATGAGCTCCTGTACGTGTGTGCTCCAGGCCCCACCGCTGGCCATCGGGAACCTGCCTTCACCTTGCTGTGTAACAGCTGTGGGGAGTGGTATGGCCTGGTACAGGCTTGTGGAAAAGGTGAGTGCTTCTGGGGCTGGCCACCTGCCATGTCTAGACCGAGCCCATGTACGGCATACAGTGGGCTCCTCTTTGCCATGATGCCCTACAGAGGAGGCTCTCAGGCTGGCCTGTGCTGAGCTCTGGATCTGGTAGGCCCCTTACTTAGGGTCCCTGGAGGCTTTTAAAGGCAGTGCCCCTGCCACAAAGCTCTGCATCTTCCTGGCTGGGAGTAAAGGGTTAAAAGAATCTTCCTTTCTTCTCTGAAGAGTTGACCCTAGGTTATCTTTCTTGCTTATTTCTCTGGAAAACCGGTCAGAGTGGAACATCAGTTGTGGACCTAAGCAACATCACTTTTTTTTTGGTATTTATTTTTTTATTTTCTTTTTTGTCAGTTGTGGGGCTTGAACTCAGAGCCCGGGCTCTGTCCCTGAGCTTTTTCCACTCAAGACAAGCACTCTACCACTTTGAGCCACAGCTTACTTCTGGTTTTCTGTGGGTTAACTGGAGATAAAAATCTTATAGCTGGGGCTGGGAAGGTGGCTCAGTGGTAGAGCGCTTGCCTTGCATGCATGAGGCCCTGGGTTCGATTCCTCAGCACCATATAAGCAAAAAGAAAAAAGCCGGAAGTGGCTCTGTGGCTCAAGTGGTAGTGCTAGCCTTGAGCTGAAGAGCTGAGGGACAGCGCCCAGGCCAGAGTTCAGGCCCACGACCAGACCCAAAAAACAAAAACAAAAAAATCTTAGAGCTGGGCACAGGTGGCTCATGCCTGTAATCCTAGCTACTCAAGCAGGCTGAGATCTGAGGATCTTGGTTCAAACCCAGCCAAGGGCAGGAAAGTCCATGAGATTCTTATCTCCAATAAACCACTCAGAAAAGCTGGAAGTGGAACTGTGATTCAAGTGGTAGAGTGCTAGCCTTGAGCTCAGAGAGGCTCAGGGACAGCCCCCAGGCTTGAGTTCAAGTCCCAGGAATTGGGGCGGGGAGGGAGAATATTATCAACTTTCCTGCCCGGGCTGGCTTTGAACCACGAGCCTCAGATCTTAGCCTCTTGAGTAGCTAGGATTACAGGTGTGAGCCACCAGAGCCAGCTTATTTATTTATTCTTTAGTTGTTTTATAAGTGATATACAGAATCTTTTTTTAAAATTTTTGTACCCATCCTGGGGCTTGAACTCGGGGTCTAGAACTTTCCTTTTTTTCCCTTTTGTTCTTTTTTCTTTTGGCGTTTTCTACCATTCGCACCACAGCTGCAGTCTGGCTTTTTGTTTGTTGATTGGAGATAAGAATTCTATGGACTTTTTTTACCCAGACTGACTTTGAACCTTTGGTCCTCAGATCTCAGCCTCTTGAGTTGCTGGAATGAGCTACCAGTGGCTGGCTGAGCATCACTTCTGATAAGTGTGCCTGGCTAGCACCCTGGGTTGGGAGGTCTGTGATGAACACATGAAAAGAAGCTCCCTATTGGACTTTGCGAGTGTGGTGATTCTGGTATCCAAGCATGACCCTTTAGGACCTCAAGAGCTATTGTACTTCAGGTTGCAACAGAGAATTGTCCTTTTGGAATGTTCTAGACACAGTGTATCCAGACCCACTCCTGGGAGTCCTGCTTGCCTCAGAGCAATCATGGGTGAAGGTGGGTTAAGAAAACCTAAGTCTTGGACAGCCGTAAAAGCTGCCACGAGGGCTGTGCCATGAAGAAAAGCTACCCACCATGACTGGCACGTTGCTTGCTTTCTTCCCACCTGGGACCTCCTGAGGGCCAGATGTGGGAGTCAAGTGTGCTTTGATATTTACAGACACTAAAAACAGTCCTGGAGAACACTGAGTGGCCAAAAGCCAACGGCATCCCCAGATGTTCCCATTCCATTTCCACATTCCCAGGGTTGCAGGTTCTGCCGTCCCTCCTCTGTCCAATCCTCTGTCTATCTTCAAGCTACGTCTCTAATCCCCGCCACGCCTGGCCTCCTCAAGCCAATGGCACCCAACACCTCAGACAGGTCTTAGCGAGCTCCACTGAAGACTCCTTTCCTCAGACCCCTTGTCACACCCAGAATTATGCCTAGTCACTCAAGACTTTTCTCACCCAAACCCCTTCAGGGGCCTGTCCCTGACTTCCATGACACCTGAGTACCACATAGAGGGTGCTTTCCTGAGGAGAATGACGATGGTGTCACAGCATTACTGGGTCAATAGGACAGTTTGTCCTTGAGTGTCACACAGATCCCTGGAGGTGATTCCTAGGGTACTGTCAGGTTCCCCAATCTCCCCTGTCTAAAGCTGTGAGTTGTCATTGTCACTGCTTTTAATTATCCATAGTGTAAATACATCTCTGTGTATCCAGTGCTGTTGGGGGACACTGGTTTGTTCTCACCTTGGGCTTGTCAGCAGTTACATGGCCTGATACCTGTGAGCATTTTCTCTTCTGTTATTATGGAAGGAAGCAAGTGTCTGGGCTTAGATACTGCAGGTGTTTCCTCCACTAGTCTGATCCATTTATTCTCCCTCTGGCTGTGTTTGGAAGTTTGGTTCAGATGCTCATCAACCTTTAGGCTTTGCCACGTGGTGACTGCTGAAATGGTGACTGCAGTTACAACGTTCATTTCTCTAATAATAGTGAAGTTGGCCGCTGGTCACGTGACAACCAGGTATTAAAATGTCCTTATGTTAAATACCTTTAAATATTTGTTCTAAAGCCAGGTGTGGATTGCTCACACCTGTAATCCTAGCTACTCAAGAGACTGAGATCTGAGGATCACAGTTTGAAAACAGCCTAAGCAGACAAAGCTGAGAGACTCTTTCTTCCAGTTAACCTGCAAAAAGCCAGAATTGGAGGTTTGGCTCCAGTGGTAAACAGCCAGCCCCTTTAGTGGAAAAAGCTGAGCAAGACCTTGAGGCCTTGAGTTTAAGCCCTAGTACTGGCACAAAATAAATGAAATCATTTGCCTATTTTTCTAATGACTTTGAATTGGCTAATTACATCCTTTAGTATGATTTTCATATAGAATATTTATAATTAATGTGTTGAAAATATTTTTCCCAGGCTGGGGGTATAGCTCAATGATAGAGCACTTGCCTGGTATACACAGGACCCTGGGTACCATCCCCAACACCACACACAAAAAGAAAAAGAGCTAAAAAATATTCTCGGGTGACTGGGAATGTGGCTTAGTGGTAGAGTGCTTGCCTAGCATGCATGAGCCCTAGGTTTGATTCCTCAGTACTACATAAACAGAAAAAGCCAAAAGTGGCACTGTGGCTCAAATGGTAGAGTGCTAGCCTTGAGAGAGAGAAAAAAAAAAGTCAGCTCAGGAACAGTGCCCAGGACCTGAGTTCAAGCCCCAGGACTGGCACCCAAAAAAGTATATATTCTTTATCATTCCTTGGTTGATATCTTCCCATTCTTAGAAGATCTTTTTTTGTTTGTTTTCTTGAGGTCAATATGTAGCCCTGGATAGCCCTGAACTATAAAAAAGAAAAGAAAAGAAAAGAAAATCCTTCAGTTGAGATTACAAGGGTACACCACAATGAACTTGGAATAACTTTTAAATAGTTTATTGTCTATTTAATGAGTTTCCAAGTCTGTGAACTATTACAATTTTTTCTAGTCATTGGCAGACTGATACTTCAATAAAATGCAATAAAAATGAATGATTACAGAACTAAAGTAGATTTCAAACATAAGCACAATTTTTGTTAAGGTGACTAGACATAACATTTTCCTATCAGATTGCTGCAAAGCTTCTAAAAACTGTGTGGGTATACCTACTTGCCTTCTGGTACACTAGGAATAAAACGTTACAGGTAAGGACAACTGCTGGAAGGACCATTTGAGCAATGGGCTCAACACTTAGCCTCACTCTGAGATTGCTAATGTCCTCCGCTGAAGTCACACCATCTCGTGAGTCACGCCTGCCAGACAAATGGGTTGTTTACTGGCCCCAGTAGAATGAGAGCTAAATGCAGGTTTTGTGTGTTTGAAATGATGTTTATTTTCTCACTGCAGTGCAGAATTGCTAGAGCTTTCAGCTGCTGGGTAGGAGTTCTGGCTTCTACACTTGGCTGGGTACATAGACTGTTAGTGTTCTTTACCCTGTAGATGTAACATTTAAAGTAGATGTGTCATTATGAGAAATGTGTGTGTTACAAGAATATTATCATCAAATATTTTGCTTCACTTTGCACATTTATTGTGTCCATGAATATCGACTTTTTTTTTTAGAGAGAGAGCTGCTTTTATATAGGGTCAGCAGCCTATTCAGATTGGAGAGAAAAGTCATTTTGGAGGGGAAGCTTAAATAAAGGCTTGGATGGGGATGGGAAGGTTGCTCAGTGGTAGAGTGCTTGCCTTGCATGCATGAGGCCCTGGGTTCCATTCCTCAGCACCACATAAGAAAAAAGCTGGAAGTGGTGCTGTGGCTCAAGTGGTAGAGCGCTAGCCTTGAGCTGAAGAGCTGAGGGACAGCACCCAGGCCCAGAGTTCAGGCCCCACGACCGGACCCAAAACAAAACAAAAAAACAAGGCTTGGAGTTGGTCAGATCTGGGTTGGAATATAAATATAAATATAAATATATATATATGTAATACATATATATGTGTGTGTTTTATATATACGTGTGTGTGTGTGTGTGTGTGTGTGTGTGTGTATTTGTATGAAACTGTAAAACTGGGGCTTAAACTCAGGGCCTTGTGCTTTCACATGGTTTTTTTGCTCAAGCCATACCTCCACTTCTGGCTTTCTGCTGTTTAATTGGAGAGAAAGTCTCTCAGATTTGTCTGCCCAGGCTTTTCAGCCTCCTCTGTAACTAGGATTACAGGTGAGAGCCACCAGCACCCAGCTTAATAATATTTGTCACGCATGCTGATTGGCCCTTAATCATTCACATCCTATCATTTGGCAGGACCCTAAGTACTGACTGAAGGTAGAAAGCCTAACCCTAAGGCAAACACTAGTTAATGGTCCCAGGAATACAGAAGATAAAGAGGTAGCAGGGAAGTTGGACAGAGAGATGTTGCAGTTT